CAACGATCGGTTAATCACAACAATCAAGAAGTCTCAAATTCGCAATTACGAATGATCTCAGTTCTTAATTGTAGAGATAAACAAGGTATACCGAATAGAACGCAAAAGTATCATAGAGTTTATTTACGCACCTCAGTTCCTTTCCAAGATGCAATACAGAAACTGCAGAAATATTTGGGGCACACTGAAAAGCACACAATCATCCATGCATCTCTATGAGATAGTCTTTGCGGAATTGAGAACATAGTCATTGAGATGTGCTGGACGATGATGCGTACATGGTGAAAGGGAAGGTGGAAGGGAAGAATTTGCTACCGGTGGAGAAGTGGTCTCCACCGTGGATGACCCTGGGCTGTCGTTGTCGAAAGAAGATGCTGGAGAACCGGTCGAAACAGGGGAAGATGAGGATAGTGACGGGGACAGTGACTGAGATGTAGACGGGGATTGTGAAGAGGATGGAGGTATGGGGGTGTCGGGTACGGGAATAGGAAAATCCTCTTATGACGGTTTGAGGATAAGTTGTGAGGTAGGTGACGAAGTGGGAATAGCAAAAGGAAAGATGGACTCATCGATTGAAAGATCACGCGTATGAAAAAATTGGTGTGTTTCAAGATTATAAACTCGCCAACCTTTGGTACCATATGGGTATCCAACGAACATACATTTGACACTCAGTGGAGAAAATTTGTTTTTGGGTTTGGGAATTGGATGAATAAAACAGAGACACCCAAAAACACGAAGATGACTTAGATCCTGAGGCTTGGAAGAAAGGATTTCAAGAGGAGACTTACCCCCAAGAAGTTTAGTGGGGGTACGGTTAATAAAATAAACTGCCATTTTGACAAATTCCCCCCCAAAAATCAAGTGGAATAGACGTTTGAAACATAAATGAACGAGCAAAATTTAAGATGTGACGATGTTTACGCTCGACTCGTCCATTCTGTTGAGGGGTACCAACACACGATGTTTGTATGCACACACCCAAGCTATCGTAATATTGACGCAAAGAAGAATTCAGAAACTCCGTACTATTGTCAGAATGGACTATTTTGATAGTTTTGGAGTATTGGGTGTGGATCATTGTAAAAAAACGTTTTAAACAAGAAGTGACTTCACTTTTAGATTTAATGAGATAGACCCAAACAGCCCTAGAAAAATCATCAATACTAGTCAAAAAATAATTAGCCCCAGAAGATATACAAGGTGAATAAGTTCCCCACAAATCACAATGAATTAAATTAAAGATATCATCAGCTTTACTATCACTAATAGGAAATGATGAACGAGTTTGTTAAGACAAGAAATAAATTTCACAAGTCTGTAATTTTTTAACAACAGATTGTGTTTTATTGGTACCAAGAAGAGGGAGAACATCCACAGATGGGTGTCCTAACCATTTATGAAGGACAAGAGGATCGATATTTGCTACGAGGGCTGACGCTGGAGAGGAAGCAAAGACATACACGCCGTTTTGCAAATCACCCTGTCCAATCACCATCTTCGACGAGCGATCCTGTATTACTCAACGATGATCATAAAGAGTTACACAACAGGTATTGTCATGAATTAAACAACCAACTGAAAATTAGTGGCACTGTAAGTTTGGTACGTATAACACATTACGTAATACCAAACGAGATGATAAATGCACACTCCCCAGTTTGACAGCCTGAACACGTGACCCATCGGGGAGACAGATAGGTTTTGGAGAAACATCCTCAATATTAGATAAGTGAGACATGGCTCCTATCATATGATGGGAAGCACCACTATCAATCCACCAGTCACAAGAATGAAGAGGTATACCATCGGATTGATTATCACGAACTGTATTAGTCGACACGGCAAACTATGGTGGCAAATTATAGCAAACTGTGGTGTGGCAAATTATGAATATTGAAGACCTCCCCCTTTCAATGGGTGTCAATTGCCGCTGAATTAAAAATTGAAGACCTCCCCCTTTGCAGGTAAATTGTGTCTGAATTGAGGAGTTAAATTGAATCCTACGGCTGGAAATTGAGGGATTAAGTCTCCACTTTAGTTGAGGTCCTCCCCCTTTCAATTGCCAACTATGTATGACGCAGGAACAAATTCAATTTTATGGATGGAGACAAGCTTCGCCGGCCTTGATGATCAGCACTTAACGTTCGGACCCGTTGGAATTTCTGCCAGCGGACTTGGACGGGTTGGACAGGCGAACTGAACACCGACGGCTGGTGTGTTGGGTATTTACGGATGGATTATTGCGGTGATATGTTTCACCGGTGATATGACGGACGGACAAAGGTGATGATGGACGATCAACACCTGTACTGCAACCGGCGATCACCTGAAACGAGCGAACAGGGAAACGGAATGACAGAAACTGGTAGGAACCCACAATTGCCCCGATACCATGTTGAAATTGATTTACGTTGAACTCCCGTCTTTCATTGATGCGAAAGAATACAAGTACACATCGGCAATACAAACGAGGAGTCCCGGTGATACACACGAGGAGTCCAATGTAACTAGCCTAATACAATGAATGCTACAATTATGCAAAAAATACATGCTTTAACAGTATGTATGTATGTATGTCTGTATGTATGTGTGTGTGTGTATGTATATATATACTACAAGCACTTTTTTGAATCACTGTTGGAAAAAACTAGAAAGAGTTAAAAAGATCTGAAAGAAGTTAGAAGAAACTAAAAAATTTGGAAAGAGTTGGAAGTTAATTTTTTCCAATAAAAAAGAAGAAAATCTTAGTTGTTTATAAAATTAAATTTCGCATCACATATTAAAAAAGATTTTAGATTCAATAAATATTTGAAATAAAATCATTACTTTTTGTCATTTGAAATAGTCTATAAAAAGTTTGAGTATATAAATAAGGAGGGAGGTAGTAACCCCGTATGCCGTAATAATGCCAATTTGGCATGCACGAACTCGGATCATATTTTGCGCATTATATGGTTAATGATAGATATCCGCAGGCATCACCAAATTTGGCAGCCGGTCATTTTCTGTCGGTGCACAAGTCTCCGTCAACACCAACAGCTGAAATTTGCATTTCTTTTTAATCCTGCCGTCACAAAAAAGATGTGCCAAATTTGATTTTCATAAAATTGTAAAAATTATAAAATGTATGTCTCGAATTGTTTAAATGAAATAGGTCTATTACAAGTCACATACCATCTTTCTCCAAGAATATTCGTCTAATTTTAAATATTTTGCAGGTCAAAATTGATACACTTTGATAATAAATTAAATAAAATTGAGATATTAATACAAAAATATTTTTATTATATTCACCTTGTAAAATATTTTGATAATTGTTATACCATACAATTTCTATTTAATGATATTCTCCGAATCAAATGTTGATCCCGAATAATTCCAAAAAATTAAAACTGGACAAACAATCTAAGAATGAAGGAGTATTTTATATTTATTGACAAATTTTATAATATACTTTGTTTTCTTATTTTCGTTACTAATTTAATAAAATAAAATAATTTAATTTTATAAACCTTTTGATGTATTTTTTAAAATAAATAATTTTTTTAAAACTTTATACAATATAGTCAAATAAATAAAATTGAGAATAAAATTAGTGTAATACGGACGGAAAAGATTCAAATGCAAGTAATAGGTAGTATACCGTTTTAGCTCATAAAGAAAAGGTCGGATTAGTATTTTAGTAAAAAAAAAAGGGAAAAAAATACCGCGCCAGTACAGGCTTTACAGCACCAAGCAAATACGCAATTATTATTGCGGCAAACTCACTTCTTCTTCTTCTTCTTCTTCTTCTTCGTCTCTCTCTCTCTCTCTCTCTCTCTAGTCTTGAGTAGTCTTAGCTGCAAGGAGGAGGAGGGGAACTCAGAGGCTTAGCATCGAGATCGAATTGCTTGCAGATCTCTCAGATCTGTGCTTTGGATTACTTCATCAATTCCTACACTGAGTGGAGGGATAGAGACTAGAGAGAGCTTTGTAGATCGAGCTCGATCATACGCCGCGTGCAGCAGGCCAGGCCAGGCCAGGGGGGGAAGATGTACGGAAGAGATCCGTGGGGCGGGGCGTTGGAGATCAACGGGGATTCGGCCACGGAGGACGAGCGGAGCCGGAATCTGCAGGACTTGGACAGAGCCGCGGTGTCGCGGTCCCTGGACGAGACCCAGCAGAGCTGGCTGCTGGGTCCCATGGAGCAGAAGAAGAAGAAGTACGTCGATTTGGGGTGCATAATCGTCAGCCGGAAGCTGTTCAAGTGGACGGTGGGGTGCATCCTTGCCGCCGCCCTCTTAGCCGCCTTCGTCATCTTGATTGTCAAGCTCGTGCCCCGCCACCACCCCCACAACCCCCCTCCCGATAACTACACCCTCGCTCTCCACAAGGCCCTCATCTTCTTCAATGCCCAGCGCTGTATGTTTTTTCCCCCCTTTTGTGAGTTAGATTCTATTCTGTGAAATGAAAGATGTGAAGATCTCATTAAATGCTTGGTTTATCGATCCAATTTTCTCGACAATTCAATTTTGTCTCTATATATAGATAGATAAATATCTCTATAGATGCACTCACTGTGTTAACTACTGATATAAATTGATGTTTTTTTGCCATATTAGTTTGTTTCCATTTTAAGAATTTGGTTTTTAATTGAAAATTGTAAGTCGATCTCCAGGACAAGGCATTCTCTTCCCGTGGCCCGGTAACTTCAATCTGCTTATAATATATATCCCACCCTCTCCAGATCTCAATAGTGGGACTCTACTGTAGTGGGTTGTTTTTGTACATGCCATTTTCTAAAGATCTATTTGTACCTGCTTGCTTTTAGGATTATTTCAATAGTGTCTGGTTTTGATAAGCTTAAGCTTGATCAATTGTTTCTCCGGATGGAAGTCGCATTTATGGGGATTACAAATCGGACTTACTTCTCTGGCCATATATTTCACCTTTTGTTTTACCCAATTTATTAGATCTTCACTATATGGTATGACTTCTTTCAGCTGGAAAACTACCCAAGCACAACAACGTATCGTGGAGGGGCAATTCATGTTTGCAAGATGGCAAGTCAGATCATTCAACAATGTTCAAGGATTTGGTTGGTGGCTACTATGATGCTGGGGATGCAATCAAGTTTCATTTCCCTCAATCTTTTGCCATGACCATGTTGAGTTGGAGTGTAATTGAATACAAAGCAAAATACGAAGCTGCTGGCGAGCTGAACCATGTTAAAGAAATCATTAAGTGGGGGACTGATTACCTCCTCAAAACCTTCAATTCTTCGGCCGATACTATTGATCGGATCGCAGCTCAGGTAAATACTGTTATTAGTTGTTTCTTTAATTTATTTTAAAATGTTATTATTCCAATTTTGCTGCACCAAAAAGTTTCGACTTTCACTACACAGAGATTGAGAAAACTATTTAAAAGTAAAAGTGTGTGTTTAGAATTTATATAGAAGAGAGAAATATTTTGAGCCACACTCTTTTCCTTTAAAAGAAAGGGCAAAATGTGAGAAAATTATTTTGGTATGGATCAAAAAAGAGAAAGGAAACTGTTCGTGGAATGCAGTGAGTATATCATTGTTGGACATTAGTTGCTGATATCATCTTCATTCATTCTTCTTTTATAAATATTATTCCTTAGCTTGAACTTCGGGCATCTCCAACCTAGCACAAACATGATGTAAAAGTTTGCTGTAGAATTGCTCTAACATAGACACCAAAAAAGAATTTTTATGTGCAAATGAACGGTAATGAACCAAATATGGTGCTATACTATTCATCAATAGCATGTTAGTGGTAAAGTTTTTATTTCCACAATTCACTTCTTCTTTTGTAACTCTTACCTTTCTCAACCATTTGAAATTATAATATACATAATTATGAATAAAACATATGATTAAAGAACTCTTTTACAAATCTTTAGTGTCAACCACATAATTTTTTCTCAAAAGGAAATTAATTGGGGAATGAAAGGGAAAGGGGGAAGATTAAATTTGGGGGGGGGGGGGGAGTAATTCTTTTGTGTGAAATTACACCACTTTTTCATTGTTCAATATATAGGTTCAAACTATCTTATGATGTATAAAATATTCCCTCCGTCCACAAATAAACTTTACATTACGTTTTACGATGTTTGACTGAAGTTATTTTCAAATCATTTTATATGAAAAATGGTGTAGAATTGAAAAATAAAAATTACATATTAAAAAACTATATCAAAAGATCTACAAAACTAGAGGTGACATGGCTATATTCTTTTATCAAATGGGTGACGAAAATAGGCCAACAAAGTGAATAAAATTTGACCCTGTGAATAGTGAACGTAAAGTTTATTTGTGGACGGAGGGAGTATATTAGAGTTTAAGTAAAATGTGGAGTGCATTTTAATTTTAGCGAAGGTATCAGTTTTCTAAACTCTATTTTCCATAGCATGCTTGATGACTACATTCAGTGACACTCTGGTCCAATTGTTTGAACACTTCTAGACTACTCTTTATATCTCACCAAATAAATTATACATTTATTTGTTAGGTTGGAGTTGGGGACACTTCACATGGAAGTACAACACCGAATGACCATTATTGTTGGATGCGCCCGGAAGACATTGACTATGATCGTCCTGTGTATGAATGCCACGGTTGCTCCGATCTTGCTGCGGATATGGCTGCTGCACTTGCATCTGCCTCCATTGTATTCAAGGACAACAGAGCCTACTCACAAAAACTTGTCCATGGTGCTCGGACTCTCTACAAGTTTTCTAGGGACCAACGCGGCAGGTACAGTGCTAATAATGAAGCACAAATTTTCTACAATTCCACCGGCTACTGGGATGAATTTATATGGGGTGCAACGTGGCTATATTACGCTACTGGGAATAATTCCTATCTTAACCTTGCAACAAATTCACGTCTAGCTAAGCACGCTGGTGCCTTTTGGGGAGGAAAGTATTATGGCGTGATGAGCTGGGATAGCAAGCTTCCTGGAGCTCAAGTAAGTAGCTAGATTAGTCTTCATTGTTTTCCCTTTCTGTTCCCTCGTAATGATTAAAGTTATGTTTACTGTTTTTTTGCGTAGGTCCTCCTGAGTCGCATGAGGTTATTTTTGAGTCCCGGATATCCTTATGAAGAGATTCTGATGACATTCCACAACCAGACAAGCATAGTCATGTGCTCCTATTTGCCATATTTTAACTCTTTTAACAGAACAAAAGGTATGTCCCTCTAATGTGTGTACTTAGTTTGAAGTTTGTGGATTATACCCGCACCAATTTTGGAGTTTAAAGTCTACGGGGCATTGCAGGTGGCTTGATACAACTAAACTATGGGGCTCCTCAACCTCTTCAGTATGTAGTAAATGCGGCATTTTTGGCTACGTTGTTTGCCGACTACCTTGATGCTGCTGACACTCCTGGATGGTACTGTGGACCCAACTTCTATTCTACTGATGTCCTGCGTAACTTTGCTGCAACACAGGTATTGATGCACTTTGAGCTCCAAGATTGATGTTTTTAAAGCAAATTCTTACGTGGTTCTAAGGTCCATGCTCATTTTATGGACTTTAGTGCATTGATATCATAAAAGAATTGGGTCTTTTGCAAAAAAAGAAATGACAATGATAATAATAATAACAATAATAATAATAAGGTACATATCACACACCAGTTTGGACATTATAAAATTTGTGTATTGTGTGGTTCGAACTTGACTGTTGACTGACGGACTTCTCAGATTGAATACATACTTGGGAAAAACCCGAGAAAGATGAGCTATGTTGTTGGCTTTGGCAACCACTACCCAAAACATGTTCACCATCGCGGTGCATCAATCCCCAAGAACAAGATCAAATACAATTGCAAAGGAGGGTGGAAATGGAGGAATTCAAAGAAACCGAATCCTAACACCATCGTTGGTGCCATGGTTGCTGGTCCAGACAAGCATGATGGTTTCCAGGATGTTCGCACCAATTACAACTACACGGAGCCCACGCTAGCAGGCAATGCTGGTTTGGTGGCTGCTCTTGTAGCTTTATCAGGCGGGAAAAGTACTGGAATCGACAAAAACACAATGTTTTCTGCAGTGCCTCCTATGTTCCCCACCCCGCCGCCTCCGCCAGCACCTTGGAGACCTTAAACACCCTTGGGTTTGCCCGATTTCTGTTTTCATGTGACTACATACCCATCTTTTTCCTCGTGTGATTGACGCTGAATTATAACTCCATTACATTTGGACCAAGGCTATATACGGAGTAGTATATACGATCAATTCCATATTGGATGCGTCTGTGTGCCTATATATATCCTGTTGTATACATGTGTATGTAACAAGTTCAGTGATGTTTTTTTTAACAGAAGTTTTGAAACACAGACTTGTAATGTAACAGTCCTTGTTGTGTTTACCAAATTATTCTTAGCCCATGTGTGGACAAATTCTTTATTTATGTTACAAAAGTTATGCTCCCATTTTTTATTTATGTTGCAAAAAGTGCACTCCGTATCATATCATACAATAAAGAGTAAATTCCTTAATTACTGATTTATAATAGGAGGTTTTTCATATTTAGTCTTCTATTAATCAAATATAACCCTTCTAGTCCTTTTATATGTAATTTTTCACAAATAATCTTTTTTGATTTTGTATCATGTTAGTATTAATTTGATAATTAAAGATGTAATTTTACATCAATTCTATATTGACGTATAATGACGATCGTTATAGACTAGGACTCCAACGAAAGAGCGCGCATGTAGACTATGCTTGTCGTAAATAGTGACTGCAATTTACAGATGACGCATCACGAGCGGCCTTTGGAATTGTCTAAGGCAAGAAAGATAAATGATCAGTGTGAAATTATAATTTTAACTTTTAAATTCACACCAACATGATAGAAAATAAAAAAAATTTAACCTCTAATTTAAAAAGAGTACAAAATAGGATGAGTCAATATTAAGAAACCCCATCACTAATGCGGGCCAAGTAATACGGAGTACTCCGTATCACCGTATGTGATGGGTAACATTTATGCTACACAATTTTAGAAACATAATAATATTGACTAAACTTTCTTCAATTTTACATGTCAAAAGTGTCCTTTAAATGTCATTTTTCAATGACCAAACTTTCATCAATTTTACAAATTATTACTAAAATAGTTAATGGTGTCATCCCTCATTTTATTAGATATACTCATTTTCCGGGTATTCTTTTTCTAGACACAAAAAAAGAGACAAATTTCAAGCTTCCGAATACACACGGGAAAAAGAAAATGACTTCAGAAAAATAATTTATTTTCCCGAAGTGATTTCTTCCCTTTTCCAAAGGGAGCCTAAGGGAAGAAAACCTCCAAATGACAAAAAGTGTATGCCACTGACTCACTGAGTGGACCAAGCTCACTGTATCCTTTTGTACATTTACAATCCGAAATTCAAATACATTGCATAATCTATACTATACATTGTAAAATGTACTGATAAAAAAACCAAGGCAACGATCGGTTAATCACAACAATCAAGAAGTCTCAAATTCGCAATTACGAATGATCTCAGTTCTTAATTGTAGAGATAAACAAGGTATACCGAATAGAACGCAAAAGTATCATAGAGTTTATTTACGCACCTCAGTTCCTTTCCAAGATGCAATACAGAAACTGCAGAAATATTTGGGGCACACTGAAAAGCACACAATCATCCATGCATCTCTATGAGAAAATCTGTTCCAATTGGTCTCTGGAAACCCTTACGTTGTGATCAACGTCCCGAGGACCAAACCAACCAGAAATTCTCCAAAATATGAACTTTCTATTTTCCTCCATACCTTTACCCGTTTTGGGAAAACAAGATCAAAGTTCACAGTTCACACATTCCTTGAGAAGTACAACAACCTTACCACAATCCCCTTCATGGCTGTGGCTACTCGCAAAAGAATCCGGAGCAATAACATCACTAGACTCTAAAATACATTCCCACGCTAATGAATACAACAACAACCAAAACCAAATCAATAATAAGTTCCAAAAATATGAAATTTTGACACACGGCGTGGGTCAAGTTGACAGATCATGAACAGTCCAAGTATGCAACGATAATAACTGCAGTCAGCCCCATAGACCTTGTTGAGCAAAACAAACAATGCAGAAAATTCCCATGTCTCAAGAAACACCCAAAATGGCCAAAAATTGTTATGTTTCCGAGCTTTCATTCATTTCAAAATGAATCTTAAGGTGGAGATGTTATGACCCTACCATACCATTAGTTCATAAACATTGTTGCAGAATCCAAATCACAGCTTCATATTTGAGTTTATAATTCAACACCAACGCATCACAAATCTCACCTGTCTATATACTTTCATGAGGGGGGAAATTGAACATCCAAATGCGGGTTGCATTCTTTGGAATAAAAATCATTCTTCTCAATCAAAGAACTCAGCAACTCGTGACTAAAATCCGGGCTATTAGGGTCACTTGACTGTGAATCACTTGACAAATCCGCAGGCCGCGGAAACCTTAAGCACAAGCAACAATTCCCACCACTGCTACTAGAGGCCACTGTCCCAAAGGACCTCGGAACAACAGCACTGTTCCTCTCCTTATTCCTCTGCACACTCTTCTTCAACTTTCTTAGCCGGAGAAGGGAAACCCTTTTCCCATTCCCCTTCCTATCATCATCACCTCCCTCTATTCTCCCATTGGTATTGATTCCCCCTTCCCCACCGCCGGCCGCCTCATCCTTGCCACCGCCGCCGCCGTCTAAAATTGTTCCGACACCTGTACTCGACTTACGATGATGTTCCCTACAGCCTGATCTGTTCTTATTAAAAACAGACATAAATAAACAGACAAAGAGATTGATCAATTCTAGATCATTCGCTTACACCCCCCAAAATCGGAATGCCTTCGATAATCATAAACGGGCAGTGCAATAACACAAAATCCAGGCGGCCATATCTTGAGAAAACCGCCGGGTGCTAACGCTAGTATAAAATTTGGTTAATATTAGTAACCAAATCGAGAGAAAAATTCAAGCCGTGAGGGACATTAAGATTAGATGCCAAATCTGTCCCAATCGTAAGCCAAGAGGCTTATTATAGGTATTTCAATTCTATCGGAATCCGACTTTTAAGGACCTGACCGGAACTTGTTATATCCGAATCCGAACCGATAAATTAAATATCCGAAACGACCCGAAAAAAAATTAAATCGAACCCAACTTTTGTTGGGTTGGGTTTGGGTTAGTATATTTGACCGACCCGACCTGTGCCCGACCCGACATGTGCCCGACTTTCAATAAGTTTTTAAAAACTCTAAGTTCCAATATTCCATGTATTTTTTATGCACATATTTTTAATGTTTTAAAACGTATTGCATTTTTTGTGTTTCATTTTTTATTGTGGTTTAATATTGTGTGTCCCACATGTGCTATTTTCATTGTACTCCATATATTATTAATTGAAACTTAATATTCTTTGTTCCGCACGCACGGGAAGACGGAGCGGTTGAGTATTTCTAGTTTGACGTCGCGCCCAACGGGATCAGAAGGCTGCCGTTTGATCTCTCTAGTTTCATCAAGTGCCATTTCTGCCCGAAAAGACATGTGCCCAAAACGCCTTCGTCCGCTCCTATTTTGCCTTCCTAGACCAGAAATCCGCAACTGCTCCCTTTTCCCATGCATGCGGAACAAACAAGAGTACTTTGACATCTTTAAGGGTTATTCGGTCATAATTATTTTTGTTAATATCTTAAATTTTATATCATCTTAAAAAATTTTAATTTCTAATGCATTTCAATCTTAAATTTTTCATGAATACTTTATTTACTCCCTCCGTCTCATTTTATAACGCTTGTTTCGGTTTACGAGGTTTGACTGAAATTATTTTCAAATCATTTTATATGACAAATGGTATATAGTTAAGAAATGAAAATTATATATTAAAATACTACATCAAAAGATCTACAAAACAAGTCGTGACAATAGTACTTTATTTTATCAAATTCCTAATGAAAATAGAGAAAGAAAGTGAATGAAGTTTGACCTTGTGAATAGTAAACATGCATTATAATTTGGGACGGAGAGAGTAGCATTCAAACCCAAAACTGACCGTAACCGACCCAGCCGAATTTTAAACCGAATCCGAACCGAAAAAATAAATATCTGAAACCGACCCGACAAAATCAAACCCGAACCCGACCTAAGTTAGGCCGGGTTTCAATATACTCAAACCCGACCGAACCCGACCCGTTGCCATCCCCACGTATTATTATGCCAAAATTGCACCACATACGGACTATATTTAAAAAAAAAGTGATATGGGGCTTTAAATGTAATGTTTAAGCTTCATGTTTTCTACTCCCTCTCTCCAACATAGATCTTCTCAGACACTATTCACAGGGTCAAACTTAATTCATTTTGTGTGCTTATTTTTACTACTCATTTTACAAAATAATATAGTCTTGTCACCTCTAATTTTGTAGAACTTTTCATATAGTTTATTACTACATAAATTTTACATTAAAATTTTATCCCTATATTCAAATAAATCGAATTGAAAATAAAGTCGGTCAAGCCTCGTAACGCGCCATGGGAAGATCTTAGGTGGACGGAGGGAGTATTTTTTTGTTCAACTCTCACAGCTATTTCTCCATATTTTCAATAATGATCCATTTGAATGTACAATGTTTGAGATGAATTCGTCATTATATTCTTCTTGAAGTAATTTTATTTTAGGATAATGTCGTATGGTTTAAGACGTGAAAAAATACCCTTTCATGTTTTTAATCACGAAGATGAGAATATTTCTTTCGGGTTAGTTTTTCTTATTTTGTTGTTTCAGAGTTACGCATAGCATGGACATGTTATACGTGCTCCAAGTTTTCTTCTAAATAAAGGACTAATTACGTAGTAGTTCTTTAACCAAAGAGACTATATCACAACTTTTTAAAGTACTAACCTACATAGAACATTTGCAATCACACTTGGTAAATATGACTTGCTAAAATCACTTATCAGCATATGAATAGCAGTATAAGAAGTCATTTTACATTGTCATCTCCAACCTTCTATTACTACTCCCTCTGTCCCATTTTAAACTGCTTGTTTGCCTTTTTTCTCCGTCCCAAAATAAGTTGTCTGTTACTTGTTATCGTAAACTATTATGAGTAAAATACCTAAACTACCCCTAAAATAAGTCACTCTTCTCCACTTTATCTTCTCATTCATCGTCACCCCTCCTAAAAAGTAATGGCAATTTCGGAAAATCAACTCTATTTTTTATTTTCCTTAAATATGTCCTAAAGTCAAAACATGTGATTTAAAACGGGACGGATCGGAGGGAGTATAATGTAGCTAACATATATTAATTTCACTATTATTGTACACCATTTACAATAAGTTTTTAAATTTTATTATTTTATTTTATAAAAGTTAGGTAATACTCTGTAGCTATGCAATTTAAAATAATAGTTTAAAATTATTTATTTTGTAAAAAAAATAATTTTTTGTAAAAAAAAATTGTAAAAAACATTTTTTTGTTTGTAAAAAATTAAAATAATATTTTATTTTTCTTCTTTCCTTGTGCATTGAATGTGAAAAAAGAACAAATTACTGCTGGGTACCATAGATTTTGTGACAAGAACTGTCAGGTCCCATTATTTTTTAAAATGTACTCCGGTGTACCTTAAAATAAAAAATTACTCCGAGGTGACATTCCGTTACTTTTTCGGTTAAACTCCATTCTCCGTTAGTTCTTCATCATCATCATCATCTTCTTCTTCTTCTTCTTCTCGGAGTAGATTTTAAAAAGTAATGGGACCTAGCAGTTTTTTTCACAAAATTTAGGGTACCCAGCAGTAATTTTTTGTGAAAAAAATGCATTTTGGCACATGAAAAGAACTAAATCAACATTTTTCTCTTCTTTTTGGCTTGTTGTATTTTCCCAACCTTGTTATTAGTAAGCAAGCAAGTCATTTTCATTTTTAGCAAACTTGTCAAAAATAAGCAAGCCCTTGAAACATGAAATTTTACTTGGCTTGTCAAATTATAACATATATAAAGTCATTTTAGTAGGGTTGAAGATGCTTTTATACAAAACTATAAATATTGTGTATTTATATAACTACGGAGTATTATGGTTTATTTGGTGAGCCTGATAAAGATAAGATATGAGTTCCAAAATTTGAAAAAATTTAGGAATCTAAATAAAAAAAGTTTGCAGAAAGTTTTTTTTAATTAAAAATTGCAGGTACTTCAAATTGCACTATTTTTTAAATCAAGAAGAGAGCAATTTTTTCTTTAAAAATTCACATCAATTTTAGAGAGTGAAAAAACCACATAATATTTCAACCGTAACAAATTGTTGGTATTTAGTGTCATTGACCTTTTTGTGTAATTGCATATGTTTTAATAGACGTTAACAAGGTTGGCAGTGTGGAGTGCACACCCATTCAATGATATTAGGTCTATTAAAATTCTCGTGTCATTGGGTGTTGCGAACACGTCTATGATGATGATGATTTTTAATTCCGCATAATAATAATATTTTTTAAAGATATTATTGGAAGAAATTGAATGCTATTGGAAGGAAATAAAAGAAGAGAAATTTAGCTAAACATGACTAAAACATAATGACTTTCTCAATATAAGATCATATGTTTTTATTTTCCAATGTAAGACCATTGGTCATTATCCATTAGTTATTATTCAAGTAAATATCCACCATTACTCGACATTATTTCTTCCACTAGCATTGTTAAGTACTCCGTATTATTTAGGAAATAAAAAGAGTTTAAATCCTATATTAAAAAATGACTTCTGTTTTAGTCTTAGTTACTATAAATTTCACATAAAAAAACATGAAAATTTGAAACTAGAAAAAGTCTAGAGAAACACGAAAGAGTTGAAACAACTCAATGGAATGAAAAGAAAAGGGCAATGCTAGAAAAGAAAATACGGAGTAGTTAATTTTTACAACTCTGTGAAACAGCTCTACTTTGCACTTGTCAGCCGTGTTCCCGAAAACAATCTCTACTCCTCGGGGTATTGGTAACACGCGTTTATAAAGGGCAAAAGAAATCAAAAGAGAAGGAAGATGCATATTTAGTAAGCACAAAAAGAAGACTTCGATGACCTTTTCCCACCAAATGTGCAATTTCATGTACAAAAACATCAGGCCATTAGAGCTCGTACAAAAAAAACAACCTTGACTTGAATGGCCTCACAAATATCTTAATATGGCTATGCCATTGATGAAGTCATTTCCCTCTTATGATTTGGAAATAGTATGTATATATATATATATATATATATATATAATGTTCAAAAACAATCAGAGATTCAGCAGCATTTCATCTTCTGAATCAGGAACTACCTCATCCTCAGTAGCAGTAAGGATGGTGCTCTCCATCAACCTATCCTTTGTGCTAAGACTAGCTCTACAGTTAGTAGTATATCCTTCATTTTCAGCCAGTCTATTGCAGTGAGGATCCTTATCCCTGTGGTCCAAGTCCAACATACTTTCCTGTGCCTGGGAATGTAATGTTGAATTGTTATCTCCCTTCAAGTGTTTAGCAATATTGGCGTCTTTTCTAGGATTGGCAACCTTTTCCCCATCATGCTCGTCACTGGTGCAGTCAGCAAAATCACTTCCCTGATCCTGGTCTTTCTCGGTGTCACTTTTCGCTGGTTCATCTTCACTTGAACAAGATGCTGATGCTATCTCATTCACAGAACCATTGATAGTATTATGCTCACTATATCGCTTTCCATAGCGTTGCTCTTTGGCGGTCTTTTTATTGCTGAAGCAAATATTCAGACCATACATACATATACGAATAAATAAGTCAAGTCCATCAAGAACCAGATGAAATCAATTATGATTCAGTATTCTTACTAGAAATGAAAATTGGAACCAAACGTTGAGAAAAAATGAACATAAGATAGATGTTAAAAGCCTTAAATTATGGCACAGATCCATATTGCACACAAACAAGATAAATAACCAAAACTTACTTCGTTACTTGTATGGCTTCCCTAATAGCTTTATCATAATCATCTGCATAGATTTACAGATAGAAGAAAAAAAACATTGATGCAAAGAGAATATGTTTAGATCCATTTCAGAAAAATCTGAACTTACACAAGCTCTTGGTCACTCGAAATTTCTATCATCAAAGAGAATAATTTTCTACATTCAAGCATTATCATCCCTAGAGCTTACTAAATGACAAAAACTACTTATAAGCATGCTTTGAAAAACACGTTCTCACTTACTAGTGTAAGAAAAGCGTGTGGATCCCACAATTAGACCTTTTAATGTTCCTCTTGTGAGAAATTGAAACTTCAAAAGCACTGTAAATGTTTTGCATTTAAAAGAGATGCATACCAAATCTATAATTGACAGGTCCACGATTTCGACAGGAACGAGTAAAAGCTGACTTTACAAAACCATTTGGAATCATATCTTGCCTCCGTTGTCGTTTCAGAACCCTTTCTTTTTTCTGTTAAAAAAAGGACTGTTGATGTCATGTATGGTCTAAGACATTACATACTACACTCCCTGCACTTTATGAGACAAAACTATGTACAGATGTGTCTGCAATTGAATCACTTGTAGTATATGACCTTCTGTATTTTCTCAAGTGAAGGAATGATGTCAGCTTGAACAGCCTTGCACACCGAAGATTCCCATTTAGCTTCACCGAATGAGACCTTATCCTGACAATGATGACAATAAACATAAAAGATGTTGAACCGTTATTATTGTTTAGATAACATCAAATGCATTGTTACCGCAAAGGCACGGAATTCTTCAAGATTAGTTGCAAGTGTCTCCCATTGAAAATTGACTCCAAGCATGTTGCCCATCCCCTTAACTTTTGGTTTACACTCAACTTTGAGAATCTCCTTATACAATCTATGACCAATAGTTTCATTCCCATCATACCTGGTACACAAAAAAGAATAGTCATCAACTTTGAACACATGGATCTTCAAATTATGAGTAAATTGAATGTTACCAGTATGAGATTCCACATCCATCTCCTCCGAACTTATCCTTCCGAAATGTAGATAGAGCAGTTCCATTTTTTAATGAATCATTAACATGTGCCAAAATATCATCTTGCTGAAGGAAAACAATTTATGAGCAGCAAAGCACAAATGAACAAAAAATAAATCACTAGCAATTCTGTGTTCAATAATGTCACATAGAAGAAGAAAAAGGAAGGGTGGAATACATCGGCTCGAATTTCACAAAGTGCTTTTAAAAGAAGTAGACGGACTATTGGATCAGCTGCCTTGTAAGTGTGTATTTCCTCTCTGAGAGTAGCAATGACAGAAAATTACCAATTATAACACATGCTCAGATAAAATTTGTATTTAATAAAACTGTTACATACACACACACACACACACCAACACACACACACACACAGAGTACCCTTTGGCTGGATTCAGAGGGCATTCGCCTTCAGCAACCTGCAATAGCATGGCAAAGGATGACAGGAGAACAATATTATATACATTTACATTAAACCAAGAGCAAGGTGACAAAAATATCTGGAAGACCTTACCCATGGCCACCAAACTTTGAGTTTTTTACATAGTACAGTCACCCAACCATAAGAATTATTCAGTATTTTGCTCGCTGGGGGTATTCCCTGTATGCATGTAACTCTCATTACATATAAGGAAAATGCAATACTGAAGTGTAAATGATATTCATTGTATACAAATTCCAACAGATACTATTATTTTCTGAAATAATTTCTCTACAGAATGATAATTATGTCCAAAATTTATCATTTCTGCACATAAAGCCTAGACGTTTGCGGAAAATGCATCCCTTGGCCCGCACCTAACAGAAGATTAGAAGGACTAATCACATTGGTCAGAGATTACGGTACATTCAACCTGCAATGTTGAAGTTTTATTTCTACACCTACATTCAGAGTCAACATTCGAAGTTGATAATCTAATACTCAGAATGTATAATGTTATCTAAGACGGATATCATTGCAAGAGCTATGCTCCATGAATCATATGAAGAATATTGCTCGCAAGTATCTCTTCTTTTACAGAGAAAAATGGATAGTTGTCATTTGGTAGTTGGTACCCAAGCTTAAATTTTATTCATGCTTAAGATGGCAATCATTTAAGTGAGCAATGTGTAAAAATTGGAAAATGTTGCAGTCTAGCAGCCAACAATATACAAACGTTTATCCTTTTCCTAAGACTAACAACAACAACAACCTACCCAATAAGACCCCGCTGGCTGGGTCTTAGTTTTTCCTAAAGACTAAAGAGACGTTAAATAAACCATACACGACCATACATTCATGAAAACACAGTTGCATTCAGATGCAACAACAACTACCCAGTTGGATCCTATGAGAGTGTGTGTATGCACCTTGCCCCTACTTGAAAGTAGAGAGGCTATTTCCAAGAGACCCCTGGCTCAAGCTGCACATATATAAGGCTCACAGTAGATACATAAAGCAGAGAAAGCACAACTACAACACAGATAAAGCACCTAGCACCCAGAGTCAAAAAACATATTAGAGTTAACGAAGGAGTACTCCAAGCGAATAGCAAATAGTACCAAGCAAATAAGGCATACAAAGCACACAACAAAAACAACACCCCCTAGCCCAAGACACTTATCCAGCAACTCTAATCCTTACTCTCCAAACGCTCCTATCTAAGATCATATCGCCAGTAAAAGCAAGAAGTCCTAAGTCTTGTCTAATCACCTCCTTCCAACTCTTTCTAAGTCTAACCCTTCCCCTACTTCCCCCTACCAACGTAAGCCTCTCGCATCTCCGCATTGGAGCGTCAGCACATGACTAAACAACCTCAATTTGTCATATCCATACTAGTAAGCAATACACCTATTGTGAGCCAGTGAATTGTGACTGGTAGTTTAGAATGTTCAAACAACCCAACTACACTTTGCTCCATCTCTTTCCATACCATTCTGCTATAATAATCATGTAATCAATCAATTAACTGATCCATGTGTGGTCAAGTTTTGATCACACTTAATCAGTTAATATAGTCTTGTACTCTTGTCAATTTTTTGTCCTTTTCATCTTGTTATGATAACGACGACATAAGATTGTTGATCTTGTGGAATAATGAGCTATCAGTGATGTGAAGGTCTAAAGTAGTACTACATCACCCTTTTGACGTAACTGTATTGACATAGTGGTTATTGTTAGGTGTAAGTAGGATTGTAAATATGCTCTTGAAGTTGGAATACTGACAACTGTTATCCTCTAGTTGTGCTCCGAAAAACAAACCCACCACCAGACCCATTTCCTAGTCACGACCCACCACCCACAGCGTACGGACACACCTTCATGCGTGATTTATCCTAGAAGGAAACAGTTTCATTTTTCTAAGATCTACAATGATCACAGCATCCTCTGACGACATCCCTACCACAGTTGCACTCATCTCCTCATCTTCGATCCCGATCTGCTGACGCGCTGCCTCGGACCTCTTTTTCAATAGGTATTTTTTCCTTATCATTCCGCCTCCATCCGACATTCTAACAATTCTTATGGCCTCCAACATTTCTTGGAAAATCTTGCTTGAGTTGTCCAAAGTATGGTTTTTGTCATAAAATTTGTCAGACTATAAAGAAGTGTTAGGAGCTAACTGGGAGACCTAAAATCCAATCAAGGTTCTGCCATCTTTCATTTTAAGTTCACCCACTGATATTCTCCGTAAGATATACTAGGGGATTCAGTTCTTTACCGAGGTATGTCTATTGCACGTGTTTCAAACATCTTTAGCTTGTAGATCCCTGATTCATGTGCTTCTGGTCTCTGGTGATTCTATCTCTAGTCAAATATGTCTAAGCCTCCACATTTGCATTTAATCACTCTTGCCAATGGCCTTCAAACACCAGGAAGAGGCATAGTATAGACTATTAAACTCCCACAATCATCCCTACAATTAGAAAGTGTTGTATACGTTCCTAATAGTCTGTTGAATCTTGTGTCAATCAGCTAACTTATGTAATCTCTTAATTGTACTCTACGCCTGTAACCTTTAATGCTGAGTCTGTCAGTGACTGTCCGAAAACATAGGGCAGCCATACGAGGAATATGCTTGGCGTTTGGCTTGAATCTCGGGGCGTTCAATACATTCATCGTCCTCATCCAGCTGCTTGTATGCCTTCGAGTTCCGAGTTAGCAATTGCACTCCATAACCACTTGGGCCACCCAAGTTTTTACAAACTTCGGCATATGATCTCATGTTTGTCAAATCTTTCATCACTAGATTGTGAGTCATGCCACTTTGTTAAAAAAACCTCGACAGTCCTGTCCACGAAGGATATATATTTCGGCTGAGCTCCCATTTTGGTTTAGTTGGGGCCCATCTGAAACCAACCTCCAGCTTTTGTGACACGGGGTGGGGGTAAGGCGGGTATGGTTTTTTGTGCAGATTAGCCACTTCTTTTATGGTTTGATACAAACTTTGAATGCATGGTTTGGGCAATCTAGTACAGTTGTCTGTGGATTGTTTATGACTAGTAGTAATGTTGACTACTCTGCTTTCTATCTGCTTGTTCTAGGCTAGGAGATAGTGAGAGAGTAGAGAGAGAAAGCTCAATATATGAGTAATGAAAGCTTAGAATCCGATCCCCCTCCATGAAGATGGAGAGGCCTATTTACACAAGTTTACATAAAGGGTTGAACCCAAACTAACCAGGGTCGCATCCCATGGGTCTATTAATTACTTTTGGACGTTTTGTCAGGTCTTACAACATATCACTTTCGTACTAGAGTGTTACTGTACTCATGGCAGCGCTCTGCCTGTTCCCAAGAGTTGGCTTCAATGTGGGCATATGGCCAACCTTGACCATTCCAGAGCGTAGACCAAGGGTGATGGATCGGACAAGCTTGTCTTCTTAATACACAAAAGCCCCCCTCCTTAGGTGGAGGGAAGGGAAACGGCATGCTGGTAGCCAAGCTCACTTATGTCTAGCACAACTCTCTCTACCAGGCTCCCCATTTCGAGGTGGTGTGTCGATGGCCAAGCTTGTGCCTGCCAAGCTCGGCATTTCTCTCTTGAGGCCTCCTGATCCGAGCCCATATCTCCATCACAATACTTTAAAAGTAACAAGTGTGCCCATCTGGATGTACGCGTTGATGATATTGTCACCAATTCATCAAACAATATTTAGCAAAGTACAAACTCAGGACTTGGGTAAGTTGTGACGTATTCTTGGTATCAAGATTGATCAACCTTGCAATGACATTGTTCTCTCCCATGAAAAATATGTGTTGAAACTCTTGAGGGGACAAATATAGAAGTGTTGGAGAGCAGTGGATGCACCTAAGGATTCAAATTTCAAACTTCTTCTGGAACAGAGGGGAGCCACTCCGTCATAAGGAGGAATAGAAACACCTAGTTGGAAAACTGAATTTTCCCACAATTCCTTAGTAAACCAGGTAATCATCATTGGACTGCTGCACTATAATTTCAAAGGAACATCAGGAAAACACCAGGTCAAAGCAATACTCTGGGGGGCATAAAGATGCTGAGTGGTCTGGTTGTCAAATAGATAAATGATCTAAAACTGCAAGGGAGTAAAGAACCAGTTCACTTAAATGGCTAACCAAATAGGAAGCAGAATACCTTGCAGTTTCTCTCGCTGCAAGGGAGATCGTATCGCTGAAACACCTCATCCCAAAATTAAGACATACGTGTAAAGAACCAGTACACTTAATGGGTAATAATCAAGCATCAATACATATCATGTCAAATATGGTAAATCACAAAATACTAGGCACCTTGAGGTCGATTGTCAATATGTCTGAGAGAAGAAGATAGTGAGACACATCATCACTAGCTATGTCACTGAGAGTGACACAGTCTAAGACAATTAGCTTAAAAACATATTGGCAGAATAACTTACAGACCCTAGAATAAAATACATTTATAACAAGCTTAGAGAAGATTCTGAAGCTCCAATTTGAGAGTGAATATGGAATAATGAGCTACCAACAACAACAACAACAACAACAACAACCCAGGTGAATCCCACAACAGTAGGGTCTGGGGAGGGTGTGTGTACGCAGACCTTGCCCCTACTCGGAAGTAGGGAGGCTGTTTCCAAGAGACCCCCGGCTCCACCTGCACAAAAATATGGAAGGGAACACAATATATCACAGATAGAGCACCAAGTTCAAGCAACAAGTACAAGCAATAGCAAAAGATTCCAAACAAATACAACACACTACAAAACAACCTCTACAACACCGAGCTCCTATCCCGCTACTCTAATCCTAGTTTTCCAAAGGTTCCTATCTAAGGCCATATCCTCCGTCAGGTTGAGAAGTCCTAAATCCTGCCTAATCACCTCCTTCCAATTCTTCCTAGGTCTATCCCTTCCCCTACTTCCCCCGATAACCGTAATCCTCTCGCATCTCCGTACAGCATCCCACTGTCTCACATGGCCAAACCATCTCAACCTCGCTTCCCGCAACTTATCTTCCACTGGTGACCCATGAGCTACCAATGTCGTAAAATTATTTATCAACCACCCATATGATGTAATGTGTCAAGTAACTATATTGATCTAGTTGTTAATGTTACCTATAAATAAGGTTGTAATTGTGTACTTGAATGAGAAAAATATACTCAATAGGTCTCAATATTTCACAAAATTAATGGTCATGGGTCACCAAACCCAACAAATTAAGTATATCCCACTCAAGAGTCATGGGTCACCAAGTTAATGCACCTCGTTATTACTTTTGTCACTGTTTCAGAGCAGAAGAAACTAGGAAACTTGTGATGAATATATTGCTGTAAGGCCCAAATCATATTAAATTAGCACAATATATTTGTCAAAAGTAAAGACCGAAGATATTTGATTGACAATGTAGCAGACCGGTCCTCTTATAACTATAAACACTGCCATCTAATATCCGTGCTTGACTGCTTGTGACTCAAACAGTAGTGTTAGAGTCTATCCCACATCGGAAGTTGAATAGAAAAGTAATCAGTATATAAGCTCTTCAGTTGAACTAAGTAATAGATTGGATTCAATCTTTTAATGTGATTCAGCCCAAGTGTCTTGTTACCCAATCCAGTTATCCTTACCGGCTTACCCCATCCTAAATTCTATCATGGTATCAGAGCAGGTTTTGGCCCACCTTGTTTGTCAAGGTGTCCGTCTAGACATTCATTCCTAGAGGCCCGTTTGTCTTTAGCCCAGTTGTCCGTATGGAGTATGTACCCAACGGCTTGTGGCCCATTTAACCCGATTGCTCGTCTGGAAGTCCATACCCAGCGGCTCGTGGTCCTTTAGGTGTTAGCGTTCAAAAAAAATCAAAGAGATGATAATCTATTTGCAAGTGGTCAAGCGGTTAGATTCAAAATGGACCGGTTGTCCACTTGAGAGGGAGTGTTAGAGCCTATCGCACATCGGAAGTTGAATAGAAAAGTAATCAGTATATAAGCTCTTGAGTTGAACTAAGTAATAGATTGATTCAATCTTTTAATGTGGTTCAGTCCAAGCCCCAAGGGTCTTATTACCCAATCCAGTTATCCTTACCCCATCCTAAATTCTTTCAAGTAGAAATGTAATATGGATAAACAAAGCTTTAGCAATATAAAGTGTACAGTAGGCCATGCCGAAGGAATCATATGATGCATGATACTCCACTTGGAACAATTAATACAACCATCTATCAATGAAAAGACTGCACACAAATATATGCAATCGTAAGCGATAACAAGCAATCTATACTCTGGACTTAAACTATTTCTAATAGCCATTTGAAAAAAATAGGCATTTGGCTTTACAAGGGCCTACAGTTCAGCAGTTGCAACTTGCAAGGAACAAGTGTCACACAATGGCACAATCCAGTGTAGGTTATTTAAGAAAATGGTATTAATAAAATTATAGGTATGGCCGTATGGATACTAAAATGAGATCTGGTCTTTATATGTAATAAACAATGCCATAAGAATGAAGCCTGAAGTAAAACATAGCCTTATATATATCCATGCTCCTTCAAATTTTAGTTGATAAATAGCATTTGATGATTATTTGTGACAAAGAAAAACACTGTCAACTTTTTGTTTGTTCTCCTCCCAATAGAAGGATGTACTTCCTTTGTACACTTCTATCCCCAGTGATGCCCCTTCTCCAGTTGCAAATTGACAATGTGACATCATTCAAGAGACAAGCATCGTTGAAAAGCATGTGTAGCAAATGTAGCCGGAGCTTGAAAGCAATGGGTATTATGGGAGGAGCTCCAAGGTTTTATTTTCTTCATTGGATATACAATTACCACAGCAGTGAGTTACTGCTAGACCTCCAAGCAGACATTAATAGTTTTTATTCAAACAATATTTGAATTTTCATGAAATAAAAGCAATATAAACTCCATCTTGACGATTAGAACATGCATGATCGCAACAATGGTGGTACTGGCAAAGTTATTTATTACTCCAATTGTCCAACACCAAAAGGCATACCTCTTTAAAGGAAGTTAAGAAATTAAGACAATTTGTTCTCCTTTGAACTTTAGGTACTACAGAGTATTTACCTGCTCATTCTCAATCCCCCAAAAAACTCAGAAACTAAAACAAAATTGTTTATCAAGTTGATCATTAAACCAGCTGTGCTAAAGGTTACAAATAACCCCTGCTCATTCCAAGCTTGGTTCATTGTGGTCGCATTTCACTCAACTTTATTCTCATTCAAAGGCTCAAACAGTAATGTACTACGGAGTAATAGATATTTGTCAAAATGCTAATTGTTGGTGGCAGAATGCTCCCTAAAGCCATTCTTTTTGTGACACAAAGATAAGAACTAATGACTATAATTGCTCAGATAAGACAGGAACCAAAAATTTGTACTATTATTGAACAATCACGAGTGCTTTTGGACAAAAACTCCCAAACCTTCCAGTCAGGGAACATAATCTTTTCTTAAAAAGTGCTAGCTAGTATAGGCAAATGCATGATGATAGAAAACACTAAAAATAAAAAAGAGAGTGAACCATACATGTAGAACCAAAATGAGCGCGATGCAGAACTAACATACCTTCAGAAGTGCAACATGAAGCTGAGAAAGAGACTCATTCGGCACAATAAGGGCCATCTCAATTTCTTCAGCTGAAATTTTATATTTGATACCAAGAACTGGTTCAAAAACCTGTCCACAAGCCATGAATATTCAATGCCATTTTCATGTAGTTTTGGTCGAATTGTTATGCAAGCAGAAAAAAGAATATGTATTCATGCCAGCCCCGTGTGTGCATATTGTATGTTCTATTTGCTCATGTAAGCATCTATAGGTACAAACCAAAATCAAACGAAATTTAAGTTATATGGAAGAAATATTCAATTTTTAAGGAAATTGTTGAAACTTACGTTGAGAAAGTTGAGAATGGAAGCCAACTCCCAGCGTTGCCGGAGTTGAACCCGCGCGAGTTGAGAATCCGGTAGCGGCGATTCTAAAATAACCCCAAGTTCGTCCTCAGTTCCATTTTCGCAATCTACAGTCGACCGCCCGCATGTGTCCACCATTGTTCGACAGAGAGAGGTGGGGGATTCTATAAAGAAAATCGGATCTATTTCAGAGATTCGAAAGAGAATGAAATTGTTTAAGGAAGTTTCTCGTTCAAGGTTAACGTGGTTTGTGCCATTCCCGCCTAAATTCCATGCCCATTGGAGTCTAAACACTGGTTGATTGGAATTGGGATTAGGCCTTGTTGAGAAACTTATTTTTTTCTTATTCTTATTAAAATCATATTAGATTAGATCAGTTTAGATTCAATTACATATGATCAAATTATATCAGATCCAATCAGATCAGACTAGATCTGATCAAGAATTATTATTGTTGTTGTGTGTTGTTGTTGTTATTATTATTATTTTAAATTACATATTGTTTACTTGTTTCACTTGATACGATTCTTTCAAAAAATAAATTTAATTTCTCTTGAAAAAATATAAGAAGAAAAAACATAAAACTTTTGTGCGATTATAATTTATGTAGAGAAACATAAAATAAAATTTTATTTGAGCGATTATAATTTCAAGGTACATTATTCCTCACTTTTCATCAATGTTTTATAATATGAGTGTGTATATACTCCGTATTATTTATAGCATACAACATTTTTTTGTCAAGCACATCTAGCATGTAATATATTATTATACAAGATACATAAAAATATATTATTTCTTTTCTTAACATTGATATTTTATAAGGATGAGATATTTTAATAAAAATACTATCTCTCTTTCTTCCATATTGATTATATAAATTTAATTACTTTTTAATGTATATATGAATTAAAAATTAATTCTAATGTATATATGAACAAATTATTAAAATATTAAATCAATATTCTTATTTCATAAAAAAATAATCATAAAATAAAAAATAATATTACATTATAATAGGAATGATTATTCTAATATATGAATTAACTAATTTTATTTCATTAAAAAATAATCATAAAACAAACAATATTGATTATATTATAATATGAACTATCATTACAATTTTCAAAAGTTATTATAAAGTTAGATCAAATTATTGATTTGAATTTTAAATCAAATCATAATTAATCAGATGAAACCAGATCAGCTCAGATCCAATCAGATCAGATCAAAACTACCAAAAATCAAATCCGATTAGAAAAAATAAGTTGAACGGAGCCTTAATAGTGTAGTCCTTCCATATACAAGTATTGTTTTTTGAAAAATGACACACATACACCAAAAAGGTACCCTAATTATACATCATTATCTTATCACCCTACAATTTTGGGTGCAATAAGAAGATTGGAGAATGGAGGATGATTGTGTGGTGGATAGAACGATGGTGTACAAACGGAATACATCTTCTGTATAATTGTAGCACTAGTCATTGTATTTTGAATGAATTTTTAAAACAGTCCTTTATAATTGATGGGTATATCCTTATACCCGACCCGGATGACCGAAAGGGACAGGTCAATACATGACCGGTCACTTTCTTCGATCACCGAATGAAGACAATTCTTCGATTGGGACGGGTAAAAAATTGACCGGTCACTTTCCTTTAAAAAGTGACCGGTCACATTTTAGGCGATAGCCAAAAATGTCACCTAATATTACGAGGGATATTTTAGAGGACCAGAGAGACGGGCTGAACTCAAAAGATGACCGGGAAGCCTTTGAGGAAAGGTGACCGGTCATGTAACTTGACTTGGCTAATATTGGTCCAGTCTCTTAGGCATGGCGAACCACGTTAAAGGACAAGGGAACACCCCGTCGCTCATCCATCACGAGGCACACAGTGAAAGGGAAGTTTGTCATTTTGCAGGTTTGATTGGATTGAGAATATCCATTTTAGTCTTTGATTGAACAGTGCTTTTTGGTTGTATTAGTAGCAAGTCTATGATTGTACAGTGCTTCCATTAACTACAGAGACCTTCCCACGAGCTTCCTATTTTGTCCATGGATGAACAGGGGAAGGTCACAAATCCTCCTCTATAAATATGATGATTATGGATAGAGGAGGGGATCCAATTTTTTTCTCACTAAGTTCACTCTTGAGATAGAGTAAGAAATATAATTCGGACTGAGGAGATTTACCCGGTCTAGGTCATACTTTGTGTTCTTGTTGTGTGTATTTTACTACGGGTCGAGTGTGTCCAGGTCAAGCACGGTCAACCCACCCAGCTATATTTACACCATCATTTTTGGTGCCACCCGTGGGACCGATTGTTAAAGTTTTTTCGACCAGGTCAAAACTTTACCCCCACTAAAAATCCACAATCATGTCTTCAAGCAATCACAACATTGTTTCAAGCCAGGCTGCGAGTGAAAGCACTCCTGCCATTCCATTGATGATGACGAGCATGGGGACGACCTTTGCCCCGATCACCACTGTAGGATCGATTGGCATGATTCCAATCATGTCGACCCCTACTCCTACGCCAACGACAACAATGTTCCTAGACTCGGTAACAACGCCCAGGGGAGCAATTACACCATACCCGTCAAGTTGGGCTCAATTTGCTGCTGACCTGGCGAATGCACAGGCTCTACAGGGCTATCAACAGGTGATGGCCATGATGCAACATGCAGGGGGCTTCATGCCATTTTCCTATCTCGGCATGATGCCACCAGTCATGAGTCCTATGGCACCCCCGGTTTCGACCCCATCGACATTCGTTCCTAGAATGGTCCCTATACGTCCGGTGAATCTGACGGGGACCATGAATGAAGGAGCGCCCTCAAATGTCCATGAGGTCGATGAGGCAGAGCAGGAGGCAGCCCGCAGGAGGAAGGGTAAGGCTATAGCCAAACCCAGCAAGACCCGAGATTCGGCGTTCAAATGCCTAGGGGACAAAGAGGATGGACCCCGCAAGTCTGCCAAGCCACGTCTTGGTCCTGAGATGGGTCGGACTAGCGCAATGGAAAGACTTGGCGGGAATCGTCTCGCCCAATCTCGTCATTCTAGGGAATCTAAGATGATTCACCTAGACGAGGAGGAAGCTGAAAGCCAGCCCAGTGCATCGGCATATACCAGGATCTTGTACGGTGAGGATGACCTGGACAAGATTGGGAGCGTAGCACGAAAGCTACGTGCCCTAGAGGAAAAGGTAGAAGAAAAGGCGGGAGCGAAGAAGCACACCCTGGCCAAATCACCCTTTTCGGCCAGGGTACATGCACAAAAGTTGAGGCGGAAGGTCAAGTTGGACGTGGAGAAATTCACGGGAAAAGAGGATCCAAATGTCCACCTTGACACCTTCCACAATGCAGCACAGATGGCCGGGTGCACTGATGCTGAAGAGTGCCTACTCTTCTTCTCATCCTTGAGAGGAAGGCCAGTGGAATGATTTAACGGCCTTCCCCATGGCAGGATTGGATCCTTTGAGAAACTTGCTGAAGTTTTCCGCAAGAAATATCAGGACAATTGCATTAAAAGGAAGAAGTTCACCTACCTTAACACGGTAGGGCAGAGAGAGAAGGAGTCATTGACCCAATTCTTAACCCGTTCGAGAGATGAGGTTGATAAAGTAGAAGAGATGGATGATAAGACAGCCATGTCTTTACTGATGAACGCCTTCCGGTCGGGTGACCTCTACACTGAGTTCTGTCGGAGGCCGCCCTCCTCCTACCAAGAAGCTTACAATACAGCATGGGAGTATGCTAAGGCGGAGGTCCTTAACAAAAGCAAGCGGGAGCTGGAGGAAGGCTATACCAGGGTGAAACCTGACAAGCCAAAGAAAGACGATCAGATGGGAGGGTCCAAGCCCATGGCCACATATGACGGGTCCATCCATCAAATAAGGGATGAGAAGAAGGGAGAACAACCCAAGAGGTCTTGGACGGAGAAGTATTGTACCTACCACCAATCCGAATCCCACAATACGACGGACTGCCGAAATGTCAAGGCCGTGCTCAAGGAGATGGCCTTGAAGGGAGAGCTGGGGGAAGGTTACGCGACAAGACATAAGAAGGACCCAAAAGTGAACACATGGACCCGTCCTCAGGTAAAAGACCAGGGGAGGAAAATGGGAAAGATAACAATAAGCCGGATAAAGAGTTCATTGAGATGATTGTTGGTGGCCCGGAAGGCGGGGATACAGCCTCCCAACGGAAGAACTGGGCCAGGAGTCTACATGTATCGGTGGTTTCCCTGGAATCACATGGGAAGCAGGCAAGGAGAGAGCCTATCACTTTCACTGATAGGGATCTGCCCAGGACAGGGGGAGATCACAATGACCCTTTGGTCATTACAATGGATATCAATGGAGCTGATGTGGCCAGGGTCCTGGATGACACAGGAAGCAGTGTCAATGTTTTATACTTGGACGCTTTCAAGAAATTGAAGTTGGACAGGTCCATGATGAGACCATTGCAAACTCCATTTTCAGGCTTCACTGGAGCTAGCATAGAGGCGGAAGGTCAGATCACCTTACCAGTTACCTTGGGGTCGGGTAACAAAACAGTAACCAAGCAAATGAGATTTGTTGTGGTTGATATCAAGTGTGTACATAATGCCATTCTTGGTAGACCTGGAATCAACCAGGTCAGGGCCATCATTTCTATGGCACACTTATGCATGAAGTTCTACACTCCCAATGGGATCGTGGAGGAAAGGGGTGATCAAAAGAACGCCCGGTCCTGCTACCTGGAAGCGGTCAAGAAGAGGACCCGCCAGTTCAAACAAATTGAACTGGTATCCCAGCAGGTGGACAAGGGTGAGGAGAAGGCCGGGATCGAGCCGGATGCAAACACGGAGGAGATCTCTATTGATGCCTCCAATCCTGAGAGGAAGGTCAAAATTTGGGCTGATCTTCAGGAGGAGCTGAGGACTGAGATTGTTCAGGTGCTGACCAGGTATAAATATTTATTTGCCTGGAGTGTTGCTGATATGCCCGGAATTGATCGGTCAGTCATTTGCCATCGTCTCTCTGTTCTTGAGGGGTCTAGGCATGTAAGACAGAAGAAGAGATTCTTGGCAAGTGAAAGGAGGGATTTTGTGAAGAAGGAGGTCAAGGACCTACTTGAGGTGGGTCATATAAGGGAAGTAAACTACCCTGAATGGCTGGCCAATGTGGTCCTAGCCCCGAAGGGTGATACCTGGAGGATGTGCGTGGACTACACAGACCTCAACAAGGCATGTCCAATGGATTCTTACCCTCTCCCTAGCCCGGACCAAATGGTTGATGAAACCGCTGGGTGTGAGCTGCTTAGTTTCATGGATGCCTTCAAGGGGTATCACCAAATCTTCATGGCGGAAGATGACGAGGAGAAGACGGCCTTCCTCACCCCAGATGGGACGTATTGTTACAGGGTGATAGCCTTTGGGTTGAAAAACTCAGGAGCAACTTACCAGAGGATGGTCAATAAATTATTCAGGCCTTTGCTTGGACGGACCATGGAGGCCTATGTCGATGATATGCTGGTGAAGAGCAGGGCATCCAGCACACACACTCAGGACCTGGAAAAATGTTTTGAGATTATGGCCAGGCATAATCTCAGACTTAATCCAAAGAAGTGTGTTTTTGCTGTGAGGACGGGGAAATTCCTGGGCTTCATGGTGACAAAGAGAGGGATTGAGCCAAATCCTGAGAAGATCAAGGCCATTGTAGAGATGCAACCCCCAACATCGGTAAGGGATGTCCAGTGGTTAACAGGGCGCTTGGCGGCCTTAAACGGATTCTTATCCAATTCGGCAGAGAAGGCTTTGCCTTTCTTTAAAGTTTTAAAGAAAACCAATACCTTTCAATGGGATGACGAATGTGCCAGAGCATTCGAGGAGCTAAAAACGTACCTGACTTCGGACATTGTCTTGTCCAAGCCAGAAACGAAGGAGACTCTATACCTCTACTTGGGGGTAACCCAGATGGCCGTTAGCTCGGTCTTGATGAGGGATGATGGGGTCCAGAGACCCATCTACTACGTGAGCAAGGCCTTAAATGGGGCGGAAAGTAAGTATACTCCTACAGAAAAAGCAGGGTATGCACTCTTCATAATAGTAAAGAAACTCACCTCCTACTTCTAGGCCCACCCCATCGTCGTGCTGACTGACCTACCATTGGGAACGGTCATGAGGGACTCCACCTCATCAGGAAGAATGATCAAATGGGCCATGATGTTGACTCAATTCAACATCAAATATCGCCCAAGGACAGCGATAAAAGGCCAGGCCGTGGCTGATTTTCTTGTGGAGATGACGGGTCACCAGGAAGAAGAACCGACCAGGGCAATCACCGAGCCTTGGTGGTCCATGTCGGTAGATGGAGCCTCTGGACCGAAAGGTTACAGGGGAGGTGTGGTATTCACAACTCCGGAAGGGTTCAAGGTATATTATGCCTTGATCTTTAATTTCAAGCTCACAAATAATGAGGCAGAGTATGAGGCGCTGATAGGGGGTCTGAGATTGGCCAAAACCGTACAAATCACATGTCTCAGGATTAAGTCCGATTCAAGCTTGGTGGTAGGCCATATCAATGGCAACATGGAGGCCAAGGGAGAGAATATGGAGAGGTACAGAGACTTGGCAAGGGCACTATTGAAGGACCTGACTGAGTATGTGATGGAGCAAATCCCTAGGGGGGGAACACTGATGCTGACTAGCTATCAAAATTGACGCAAGCAGCCCTGGAGCATGTGTCCAAGCTGGCCAGGATTTAGACACTGGAGGAAGCCAGCATTGAAGGGTTTTCTGATAGCGTGATAGAGGAAGATGGACAGCCCAATCCAGATCGAGTGGAGCCAGATGATGTTTGGATGGGTGATTTGGTCAGATATTACATGACCGGGCAATTCCCTGAAGACGAGGACAAGGTAAGAAAAGTAAAGTTGAGGGCTCTAAAGTTCCAGATGCTTGATAGAAGGCTTTACAAAAGAGCATTCGGTGGTCCATTGCTAAGGTGCTTGACCAGGGCAGAGGCAGAACGAGTGATCGCCGAAGTTCATGAGGGTGTCTGCGCAGCCCACCAAATGTCCAGGACACTCGCCCAAAGTATCATTTTGCTAGGTTATTTCTGGCCTACAATGAACCAAGATTGCGAGAAGTATGTCCAAAGGTGCAAGACTTGCCAGGTGTTCTACAAATTTCCAGGAAGGCCAATGACATACTACCATCCAGTTTCCAATGTTATTCCGTTTGCAAGGTTTGGGATGGACATCATTGGAGCCTTCCCTCAAGCACAAGGGATAAAGAAGTATGTAATGGTTGCTATCGACTACTTCACAAAGTGGGTAGAGGCCGAGGCATATGCAACCATTACAACCAAGCAATGCCATCGCTTCGTTTGGAAGAACATCATCACTCGGTTCAGGTCTCCACAGAACATCGTGACGGATAACGGACCTCAATTTCGGAATTCAGGGTTCACCAAATACTTGGAGGACTTCGGGATTACTCATAACCAGGCTTCTGTGGCCTACCCGCAAGGGAATGGCCAGGTGGAGAATGTGAACCGCACAATAGTCGATGGGATCAAAAAGAGGTTGGGTGAGGCAGGAACAAATTTGTTAGAGGAGTTGCCACATATCATCTGGGCTTACCGGGTCACTTCGAGAAGGGCCACAGGTGAGACACCCTTCGTCCTTACGTACGGGTGTGAGGCCACACTACCCATCGAAGCTAAAATAATGACCTTTCGGGAGAAGTTCTATGAAGAGAAAGGGAATGAAGAGGACCATTTGGCGGAGTTGAACTTGTTGGAGGAAAGGCGGATGGTCGCTGAGGCTAAAATGATAGAATATCAGCAGGCAGCCAAGGCCTATCATGATAACAAGGTAGGGCCTCAGTACTTCCAAGTGGGTGATGAGGTCCTGAGACGAAGGGAGGCCAGCAAACCCGGAGTCGGGGGAAAACTTGCAAAGAAATGTGAAGGTTTGTATAGGGTCACGGAAATATTACGCCCTGGGACATACAAACTAGAAACAATGGATGGTCGAGAGTTGGAAAGGTGCTGGAATTCCCACTACCTTAGAAAATTCTATCGATAGGCCAAATTGGAAGGGCATATATTTGTAATACCCCTTCGAGGATAAATAAGAGTTTTTTTCAATACTTGTGTTGCTGGGTCAGTAATACTAAAATAACACGTCTTGATGTAAGAGGCAAAGTAAAAAAAGATAAACCCTTGAGATAGGGGCCTTGATGTTGAGGTATGGCCTTGAGATAGGCTGGGTATGGAAGAGGACTCGCGTCCATACTTACATGGATCCCTACCAAATTTTCGTTTGGATAAGGGCAAAAAGATGCCAAAATAAAAATTGTTTACCGTCTTGCATGAGCCATCCTTTGCGGATTGAAGGGTCTAGGGAAGACTAGAATTCACTTCAAACGCATAACATATGGACATGTAGGATTGGATGAGGGCTGGTTCTCACCGGCATACCCCCACGTGGGAAGATTGGGTTGGCTAGGTCAACCTAATGATTAGAGAATGACACATTAAAAGACTTAAAACCTGGAAGAGGGGCCCTGGAAGAAGGGTGTTGCCTGGGAGAGGGCTGAACCTTGGAGAGGGTTCGCGATCATAGGACATGGTCAAAATCTCTGAAGAAAGATCGGGTCTTGATGTTGAGACTTGATGATTCCAAAACCGTTTCGGATTATTCGTTCAAAGTTTGATCAGGGTTACAGTTAAGCATGACATCCAGGCCAGAGGGGTATAAGGAAAGTGGCATGGTCAAAAGTGACCGGTCACTTTTTAATATTCTGGATTGGCAAGAAAAGGCGATCGGAAAAATAAAAACTTTGAACGGTCAACTTTGAGAAAATGACCGGTCACGTTTTCAAAAGGCTAGATTTGAGGAAATCAGACAAATCTGGAAAACTTTGATTTTTGACCGATCATATTTGTTACCAGGCACCTGGAAAGAAATGTGACGTCATGGTGGTGGCGTGACACAACCAAGCTATTGGAAGCTGATCAGGACGAATTCAACCTAGACGTTTACTACATTTCAACCTGGAAGTCAATCGGATTAGAAAACAAGCCAGAAACAAAGTGACCTGGACGTTTTCAACTCTGGAGACCAGGACATGAGATGACCTGGAAGTTTTCAAGCCTTTAAAACTTTCAACCTAGCCTACTAACCAGGACATGAGATGACCTAGACATTTGGTGAAGCTCAACCTAGCCGTAAGTCGGCCCATAAGATTAGCCAAGAATGAGGTGCCCTATACGTTTTATGGAGTTGATGAAAATAAAGGTCTAGACCCGGATGCTTCAAAAACATACCATACCCGGACATTTTCAAGATTGGAAGACCGGGACGTTTGTAAAAGTTTCAATGAGGCCTACCAAACCTAGACATTTTTCAAAATGTCATCTAACCATGCCTAGGCCGGTTACTTCGGCTGACTTGGAAGCAAACATGTACTAGAAAATTGTCAACCAAGCCAATTAGACGTGGATGTTTTAAAGACCAAGACATGGGATGACCTGGACATTCTTTAAACAATTCCAAAGGTATGTGGCCGGTTACTATTATTGACTTGGAAGTTCAACCCAGCATGATAAATTAAAGGCAAGTCTGACCATGCAATTTCAAGTAAGGACAAAGCAACTACCAAGGGAAACCGAGCAAGGAAACGACCATGCAAGAAAAGAAATTTAACCGTGCAAGTTAAATGAAATAAACAACCGGCAAATATTTAGGGCAGGCCAATACAAAATGTCATGCAAGTCAAATATTAGGCCGGACATCCCCCATGCCTTGGGAGATTCAATGTTTCTTCAAAAACTACCCTAACCTACTCTAAAGCGAAAGGGGGGGTTGGCTCTTCCTTGTATAAAGCCGGGAGCTTCATGACGGCCGGATCAAATGCAGGGTCTCTATTCCGAAGCCTGGTATAGAGGAGAGACCTTTCTTCTTTTTGGCCACATTGGAATCCATAAGATCCAATGTCAGTAATCATTCTCTTCCCCTCCGGCTCCTGATACATGACTTTGAAGAAGTCCATGGTTTCCTCCGGGGTAGTGAGAATGGACCGGGCAATCTCCGAGTGATGGCATGCGGCCCAGTTGGCAGCTTTAGAAGGAAAGGCTTCCTCCTGGGCCCTGGCAGATTCTTCGGCCTGCCCCAAAGCTTCCTCCAGCTCGGTCACCCTCCAAGGAGGAGGGTGAGTTGGGAAACCTGGTCCTTTGGCTCCAAAAGTGTTTGACCAATCTCTTCTAAAATGATCCCGGCCTACAAATTCAAAAAAGAGATGTATCAATTAAAGCAAAGGAAAAAATCTAACCGGGAGGAAAATCAAAGATGTAATAGCTTGTTAAGTTTCTTGGCCAAGGCTAGAAAGGTTTCTTCAATGGACTCCCCTTCCAGATCTGATAACCTGACCTTCTTCTTCCTGTCCCCCTTGGAGCTCTTTTGGGACCCTTTCCTTTTGTGGCCCTTAGCGCGGGAAGAAGAAGGGCCGACCTCCTTAGATTTGGATTCGACCTGGGCCTGGAGAGAATCAACCCGGTCATCCTCGAAAAAGATGGGTGGCCCTTTCCATCCCAGGGTTTTGAGGAGGAGAAGGAGGGTTGTTAAAAGGGGACTGGCCGCCATGGAGGACTTCATCATCCTCATCATCAAGGTTGACAAACCGGGTGAAATTCATATCTGCGAACAAGAACAAAACAAAATATTATCGGTTAGATATTTCACCTTATCAAATTGTAATTGAAATCAAAAGTTGAGGAAAATTAACCAACCTGGATGAGGAGAGCCGGCCTCAGCATGACTACCCGGGGAGTTGGCCCGGTCATCCTCTGCGTCATGGGTCACAGACACACCCCATCCAGGTTGGGTAACCGGTACACCTATCCACCGTAGGCGTATGGCTTCCTGGTCACAGGATCACCCTTGAGAAGTTTCTCGTAGGCGTCCTCAATCTCTTTAGTTGGCTCCGGATGAACCCTTTCGGGTTTTATAACCCGGTCAGCCCACTCAGGGTTGTTTGAACACGGGTTTACGTCTACATCATACTAAACCGTGTTCGTTTTATGACAGGTTTTGATAATGTCAAACCGCCGTGACATAACAAGGTTAAGGTGAGCAAAACCAAGGCGAAGGAACATGGCATGACGATTTGAGAACCAAGAACGAAGACTTAGAATTGTATTGAATCGGTCTTAATGTGATCAAGACTGGCACAAACTTTCAAATCTTGGCTCTCTAGGCTCTTTTCATCAAAATGTTTTTTGCATATTCAAAAATGTTTTTCTTAAGTTTTAAACCTACCAAAAAAACACTTGGAGTTCGCCTAAACAAAAAACCAAGTCATCCGGCGTTCGGCTTTCAGAAACCAGCGTTCGGCTTTCGGTTTTCGGCATTGGTTTTTGGCATCCGAACCAACCAAGTGGTTTTCAACTTTTTATGATTGGTTTTTACTTCTGGGCATATTTAAATATTTCTCCAACAAAAACGCTTCAAAAACCACCTTCCGTTTTTGGTCGTTTTATGAAAACCATGTGAAACGGCGTAAACATGGCTAGCCGTGGTTTTCAATTAAATGACATGGTTTTTAAGGTGTTTTACTTGATTACTTAGCAAAATGCATTAAACAAACGTTTTCAATACTTGGTTTTTATTTTGGAGAACTTACATTTTTGTCATCGGCTAACGGAATGACTAAACCAACCATGGGTCTGGCTAAACCACCCCAATAGCGATGTTGGTGTAACCAACAGCGCTGTCTGGCATGAGAAGCTGAAAACCATGGTTTGGCGCTAAGTCGTCCAACAGAGATGTTGGATGTTAGACATCGCTGTTGAGCCAGGGTTGGGTTTCCAGAAACATCTAGAACATCGATGTAGCCTTCCCTACAACGCTGTCCAACCTAAGCCAAAAATATAGTTTATTGGCAGAAAGTTTTAAGACAGCGATGTTGACCCAGCAACAATGTTATCAGGCCAAAACTCCACCTTCAAAGTCAGACCTAAACAGCGATGTTCAAGTATTGAACATCGATGTAGGGACCTGACCGTTGGAAGGAATTTAAGGCTAAAACTTTCCTTGTTTAGAAGACAACAGCCAAAACAACGATGTAGGGGTATTGGACATTGTTGTTGGCATGACCGTTGCTTCCCAATTTTCTAAACCCAAGCCTAGAACAACGATGTCCAAGCCTAGGACAGCATTGTCTGGGTGAATTTCAGCAGATCCAAATTTAATCAAATCCCACAAATTGTGCCAATCACCCCTTAAATGTTTTGATCCGTTGGAGCCTATTTTTTCACTATAAAATGGGGTGTTTGGGTCCGTTTTACATGAATCACATTACTTCACAATCTCTACTCCTTCATTGCAAATCATTCATCCTTTATTCATAGCTTTTTGAGAGCCATTTTTGTGAAGCTTGTGTTGTGTTCTTGAGCGTTCTTAGTTACTCAGTATCCACTCTAAAAAGAGAGTATTGTTCTTGAGTGAGTTTAGTGTTCTTAGACACTTGACAAGAGAAATTATTTCTCTTGTTGTTCGAAGGAAGGGTTGTTTCCTTCGAAGGTTCGTTGAGGTTCGTGTGACTCGAACTCTCAAGTTGTACGGGTTTGTTAAGCACCGTTAAGCTTGACGAGATAGTAGTGTAGTTCGAGAGGGTCTCTCGGGAGGCTGGATTAGCCACAAGTTGTGGTGAACCAGGGTAAAATCGGTGTGCCTCTTACTCTTCTCTTTACTTCTCGTTTATTCATTTTTTATTCCTGCGATTTCTTGATCAAACGCTATTCACCCCCCTCTAGCGTTGGTCTATTATTCTAACAAGGGTGAGAGAGAGGAAATTGGTAACGGGGGAATTCAACAAAAACAAATCTTTTCTTCCATTTTTTTTGGCTAGGGGGGAGACCGGTCAAAAAACTCCTCTTGTTACGAGAATGAAAATAAACAAAGCCCGGGCAATTACTAGTCCCGGGCAAGACTTCAAACATGTGGAGGAAAAGTTCGAGGGAAGGTTCGATTTTTAGAGAATCGCAGATATTAACAAAGCAATTTAAGAACCGGTAAGCATGCATTGGGAGTAAGCTGACCGGGAAGAATATGAAACTTATTACATATTTGGATAAGGAGGGGGCGAAGAGGAAAATTAATGCCTCCCTCCAGAGAAGCAACGTGGAAACCTAACCGGTTTCCTTGGTGGGGTTCAATGATGTTGGGCCAGATGGTTTTAGAAAGGACTTTATAGCCCGGTGGGAGGATGGTACGGACTTCGGCAAGAACCTTCTTTGTAACCCTAGAAGACTCCTTGAAAACCCGTCTGACATCCAGGGCTAAAAAGCCCAGCGATCCCAGTCGTTCTTCCCATTGGTCCGAGCTAAGAACCTTGGGATTGAACCGACCGGGAAACTAGTTCAAAGGGACAGGCTCCTGGGCAATTATTTCCCGGACCTGAGAGTTAGATTGTTTGGAGGGGCGACGGATCAAAGGAGTATGAGGGGGAGAAGAAGATTTAGAGTGGGAAGAGGAAGAGGGCTAAGAGCCCAACCCATAAGAATGACCGGAAACATTTTGGCTATCATAGGGCGACATGATTCTAGCCTACCGGTCAAAAAAGGAAAGATGAGAGAATAAAAGACTAGGAGGACTGGAGGACTTACTTGGCGGATGGCTAGAGAGAGAAAGCAGACCGGTCAAAATATGAAGAGCGAAGAAGGGAAGTGAAGGAATGGAAGCGGTTCAAGGAGTATTTATAGGAGAGAGAGAAGAGGGTTGGAAATCAAGGCGACAGGTGGAAGGCTGAGGGGCAGCCACATGTAAAAGATAATGATGAGGGGGGAAATTCAAATTTTGAATTTGAATGGTGAAGGGTTTTGGGGGGAAACTCCAAAACACAAAAGTCAGGCCCAACGTTTGGGCTGCTACAGATCCAAAAGGACAGGTCATGAAGTGTATTCGACAGATCTAAACATGACAGGTCATGAAATGGTTTAAGGATCCAAAATGGACAGGTCTAATATGGAGACTTGATAATTCCAAAATTGGACAGGTCTAATATGAAGACGATGATTCCAAAATGGACAGGTCTAATATGAAGACATGATGATTCCAAAATTGGACTGGTCTAATATGAAGACGATGATTCCAAAATTGGACAGGTCTAATATGAAGACATGATGATTCAAAAATCGGACAGGTCTCAAAAGAAATGGCTTTATGATTCGAAAGGTGATAGGTCTGAAAGGAAAGACTTGATGATTTCAAAGAATGACAGGTCATGGGAAAGACTTGATGATTTCAAAGAAGGATAGGTCATGTGAATGACTTGACGATTTCAAAGTAGGACAGGTCATGTGAATGACTTGATGATTTCAAAGAAGGATAGGTCAACATAAGTATACTTCTCGCCCTTAATGATTTCCTCACAAGGCCGGTAAGTGGAGGACTTCTTGATGGGTATATCCTTATACCTGACCCGGATGACCGAAAGGGATAAGTCAATACATGACCGGTCACTTTCTTCGATTACCGAATGAGGACAATTCTTCGATTGGGACAGGTCAAAATTTGACCGGTCACTTTCCTTTAAAAAGTGACCAGTCACATTTTAGGCGATAGCCAAAAATGTCACCTAATATTACGAGGGATATTTTAGAGGACCTGAGAGACGGGCTGAACTCAAAAGATGACCGGGAAGCCTTTGAGGAAAGGTGACCGGTCATGTAACTTGACTTGGCTAATATTGGTCCAGTCTCTTAGGCATGGCGAACCACGTTAAAGGTCAAGGGAACACCCCGTCGCTCATCCATCACGAGGCACACAGTGAAAGGGATGTTTGTCATTTTGCAGGTTTGATTGGATTGAGAATATCCATTTTAGTCTTTGATTGAACAGTGCTTTTTAGTTGTATTAGTAGCAAGTTTATGATTGTACAGTGCTTCCATTAACTACAGTGACCTTCCCACGCGCTTCCTATTTTGTCCAGGGATGAACAGGGGAAGGTCACAAATCCTCCTCTATAAATATGATGATTATGGATAGAGGAGGGGATCCAATTTTTCTCTCACTAAGTTCACTCTTGAGATAGAGTAAGAAATATAATTCGGACTGAGGAGATTTACCCGGTCTAGGTCATACTTTGTGTTCTTGTTGTGTGTATTTTACTACGGGTCGAGTGTGTCCAGGTCAAGCACGGTCAACCCACCCAGCTATATTTACACCATCAATAATAATGTATTTTTCCAAATTAGTCCTTAATAAACAATAATCATCAACGTGCTCATTTGTAATTGAGAAGTATTCGTTAAATAGTGCTCTACCAAAAATGTATATTCTCAATTCGCAACTGAACTCACTCTAATTCTATATGCCTAACATTAGAAAACAACTTCCATCACTTGCAAAAACAACACATGGGACATTAACCAAACACCTTGCCTACACACACTTATCAGTACTTCCAATTAACCCAACCCAAAATCCTTAAACAAAAGGACTTGTAAAAAACAAAAAAAAATCCCAAGTTCAATGACCAAAATCTGAACAATATTGACTCTAATGACTAACCAATTACAGCCACATAAATCCCTTCCCTTACGAAATTTAGCAAAAACTTTTTCCATGAATAAAATAGCAAAATCCATCCCTAGAAATGACGCTTGACCGAAAACCTCAACACCACAAATAAGAAATGACTAACACAAATTGCATGCATCATCATCAATCTACCACCCAAAAATCCCTGTAACCCCAATTTCAGTTATAAACAGCAACCAAAACAAATTAGAATTCAAAACACTTACACTTCCATTCCTCAACTTCACCAACATCCTTGTGTTAAGATCCTGTGGCGGCTCACTCACGAAGTCATTTTGCTCGTCCTCGCCTACTCTCCTAGACACCGAACTCCCTGCCATGGCTGACAAACTCTTCTCAATTCAATGCATTTGTATTCCAGAAACGAATTTCCCCAAACCTAATTACCTTCGTACCACTGTAAAACTCCAAATACCCAAGGAAAGAAAATCTCCATGCAAATTGGGATTGGTTTGTTTCCTTTGCCGTTTAGAGTTTCTGTAAACCTAGCGCCATAATAGTCGCCCTTTCCTTTTTTGTTTTTTATGTTTTTTAATTAAGAGCAGGGCATTATGGTTCTTTCCCATCAAAAACATAATGGGGAATATCATCGGTGTTATTTGGGAAAACAAAACTTGAGAAGGTGCCATTTGGGTATTTTTCTCAAACTTAAAAGGCAAGAGGCGATGTTTGAGGTAAAACATGTTAATTTTCTAAGAAAAGAAAATGAACAAAGTGAGCATGTTGGTATCAAAAATTATATCAACAGAAAAATTATTTCAAATGAAGAGTTAACAATTCCTTAAGATGCGAATAATTGAGATGAAAAATAGAAACGATGAGAATTATGAATCTCAATAAATTACATTTCTACGAAGTTGTAATGAAACAGAAAATATGTTCATGTAAATGAGAGATTCGCATATGCCATCGCCACAAACATCATGAATGAAAATAATGACACGATCCAACATCAATTGATGAATGTCGACGTAGACATGATTGGCCTAAATGGAATGAAACAATTCAAGCAGAATTGAAATCACTTCAAAAATAAAGTATTTTTGGACCTATAGTTCCTACGTCAAAAGGCGTGAAACCGGTTGGTTTCAAATGGGTTTCTGCGCAAGCGCAATAGATTATGAAGAAACTTAATTTTCAGTAGTTGATGCAACTACATTGAGATTTTTGATAGGCATTTCTATATTTGAAAAACTTTAAATGTGTTTAATGGATGTAGTGACTACATATTTATATGGATCTCTCGACACTGACATATATATATATATATATATATATATATATATATATATATATATATATATATACACACACACACACACACACACACACACATACACACACACACACACAACAGACTAAGGCAACTATTACCCTTGATTATTTCAGAGGAACAAGGAGCCTTTGTGCCAGGGCGAGAGATCTCTGACCAGATCTTAATCACTAAAGAAATGGCCCATAATATGGACAGGAAAGCAGAGGGGGGAAACATCATCATCAAACTAGACATGACAAAGGCATTTGACAAAGTAAAGTGGTCCTATTTACTTGACATCCTTCAAAGATTTGGTTTCTGCCGCAGTTTCTTACATATGGTCAAAACTGTTCTCAAAACCTCCAAATATTCAGTGCTTTTTAATGGAAAGCCTTGTGGTTTATTTGGGCAATCTAGAGGAATTAAACAGGGAGATCCTCTCTCCCCTCTCCTTTTTATCATAGCTAATGAGGGCTTCTCTAGAAACATTAACAAACTCTTCATGAATGGTGTCCTGGGCAGGTTTAATTGCGGTAGAAACAGCATCCCCATCTCCCACCTCTCATATGCTGATGATATAATCATTTTCACTAATGCCCATGCCAGGAATCTCTCCCACCTTAAAAGGTTCATCCTCAACTACCAACAAGTCTCTGGCCAAACCATTAATTCTTCCAAATGCAGTTTTTTCACAGGGAAGAAGTTCAACTCTCTTGGAATAAGGAAACTGGAGAAACTTCTAGACATGCCCCACAGGAAATTCCCTTTTACTTACCTGGGAAGCCCCATCCATACTGGCTTCACAAGAAAGTCCCACTGCACCAACATCATCTCTGCATTTGATAGGAAACTTAATGGTTGGCACCAACACCATCTAGACCAAGCTGGAAGATTGATCCTCATCAACCATGTTCTCAACACTATCCCTAACTAGTTTCTTGCTACCCACACTATGCCTAAATCCATAGTCAACATCCTCCACCAAAAAATGGCTAGATTTTGGTGGGGTGGTAATAGCAAGAAGCACCACTGGCTGTCATGGGATATTTTATCCTTACCCAAAGAAGGAGGGATTGGCACCAGAAATTTCCAAGCCCTTGAAGAAGCGTTCAGCATGAAACTGTGGTGGAAGTTCACTCATAATGATAGCCTCTGGTGCAGGTTCATGAGAGCAAAATATATGCGCAATGGAGACATGGACTATCATTTAGTTGATTCACCAACCTGGAGTCAAATCTCTAAGATAAATACTAAAGCTAGCAACCATTGCAGTATTCATGATGACACTATGAGTTGGAACGAGGACTCAACAGGGATTTTCACTCTCAAAAGTGCTTATGAGATCTGCAGATCCAAATCAAGCCCATCCTATGCATATAGATGTATCTGGGATTCTCATCACAGCCTTAAGATCAGCATTTTCACATGGAAGATCTTTCGTAACTGCCTCCCAATCCCTGAGAACTTGCGTAAGATGGGATTTGCTCTACCTTCAATATGCCCCTTCTGCAAATCCAGTAGCCTAACAGCCAAACATTGCTTTGTGGACTGTGAAAAAATTGCTGCCATATGGATTCATTTTTCTAGATGTCTCAACTTCACACATGCTGTAACACCCCGGCCCCCACCCTAGCCGTAAGTGTCTGCTCATAGGATTGTAGACTGGCCCCCACAAACCAACACAAGTCTTTCCCGCACACTTTGTCCTCACTCATGCGCGCCCAAGTAAAACTTTCCAGGGGGTCACCCATCCTAAAATTGCTCCAGGTCAAGCACGCTTAACTTTGGAGTCTTTAGGTGATGAGCTCTCGAAAAGAAGATGCACCTTGTTGGTATGAGTAGTACTATCAATCCTTTTGAGCTCTTCTCATTCACATCTTGATACGGGGTATTACATTCACGTCCTCGTTGCATCCTTTTTTTTGAACCCATAGATCTTCCCCGCTAGATGAACTAAGCTCTTCTGGCCCGTCACGGTCGCAGGGTTGCTCTGATACCATTTGTAACACCCCGGCCCCCACCCTAGCCGTAAGTGTCTGCTCATAGGATTGTAGACTGGCCCCGATGAGCTCTCGAAAAGAAGATGCACCTTGTTGGTATGAGTAGTACTATCAATCCTTTTGAGCTCTTC